TAAATATAGGCAATGTCGATACTAGGTAGTGTTTGAATATATTAATATAGGTCTCTCGAATAGTCTATAGTATACGAGCAAGCTAATTAGGATCTATGCTATTAGGGGGCACAGGTTCGTCGTTATTACTACCGAGCAGGTCGGTAGTCGGATCCGCTAGAGTTAGGTTGCTAATAAATAGGACCCTAATATCGTTAGGGCACTCGCTAACGTCGATATACTTAATATCCTCCTTTCTAGCGATTCTAAATCGCTACTACTAGAGGCCTAAGTCTATAGTTATAGCGTAGTGCTTAAGAATAGGGTTGCTAATAACAATAGTAGCTCCTCTATATAGGTTGTCTATATCTACTACGTAGGTAGTAAAGTCTAGTAGGCGTTTATTTCCGAGGTCGTCCTTTAGGACTATAGGAATGTAGTAGGCCCTATAGGTTAAGTGCCGAGCGTTATTAAACTAAGCAAGGGTTAGTATATTAGTTCTAGGCAATTGTCGGAGGTCTAATTGCTTAGCTAGGCGGTAATTAATAAGGGCGCTAACCGAATTTCCTAGATCTAGTATAACCTTAGTTTAATAGTTAGTTCTATACGTGTCCTATATAAGGCAGGTACGTATAATAGCTAGCACAATATCGATAGTCTTACGCCGCACAAGGCTAACAGTTAGTACGGCGCTTATTCTTTTTTCGAAGGTTAGCCTATAGGAGTAGTATTAGCGGCTAAAAGGTGCTTTCGATGTTTAGCGGTAGTACGGTCGATTCGGGCCTAGTCCTTAGGTTTGTCGCATTAGCCTAGTAAATAGCTAGTACTATTATAGTTAAAGCACTTCAATCCGGTTAGGAGATTGCTATAGCCGCTATTGCTACTATTATTAGTTAAGCGATTAGTATTGTAGGGATACGAGCCCCTTCTACGGCCCCTATTACGGCCTCCTCTATATAGCCGCCGGCTACGGCCTCTTCTACGGTTATTGCTACTGTTTCTATTGTTAGTATTATTGTTTTAGGTAGAACCTTAGTTTCCTCCTCGGCTACGGTTGCTACGGTTAGTACTAGCTAGTCGGATCCTCGATTCTAGTCGTTACTAGAGCTAAACAGCTCGTTTAGCTGTTTCTACTTCGACTATAAATTAAATACGTATTAGATTAGTCTGTTCAAACACACAGCGGCGGTCTAATTTAAGGACTAATTCCTATCTTAATTTAGGGCGTATTTCGGAGATCTATATAGAATTAGTCTTAGCCGGAAGGTTATCTTCGAGGGTCTTTAAATAGGCCTTAAATAAGCGAGCCGATTAATTAGTCTTTTGTTTAGCTCGAAGGTACTAGTCCTAAGCGTGTTATTGCCTTAGTATCGGGTTTGTAAGGGTGTCTAGTATAATGGTTTTGTAGGTTTGCTACTAAACAGCGGTCTAGTTATTAAGGGAGTCAAAATGGTTATCCTAGGTGCGCTTTAAGTCTCTATTAATATATTGTATAGCATAGACGACTAACGAGTAGTCGTCTAGAAGGGCCCTTAGCGCGTTTCGCTAATTAAGCTCGCAGTTACGGATATAGTCGTTATATTGTTTTCGACTAGAGCTATTAAATATAGTATAGTCCTAAAGTTTAGCATCCTTCTTTTAGACTGAAATAGATAGGGAGGAAGGCCCTACTATTAGTTTAGTATTAGTTGCTAGGGCTTCTTATAGGCGACGAATTTCGAGGAGATTATCCTTTAGCTATTGTTCTTAACGCAAGGCAGTAAGCCTGTTTTAAGTAGCTTCTTAAAGTCTCGCTACTAGCTAGGGGCTAAAGGCTAGCTAGCTATATCGTCGATTAACAATGTTATTAAGAATATCGTTAATAGGCAATTCTAGATTATTACCTAGAATTATAGGTTCTTCTTTAGTAGGCTCTCCGGTAGGCTCTTTAGCAGGAGGCACTTTAGCAGGCTCTATGCTACTAGAGTTATTATTGCTAGCGCTGCTAGCGGCGCCGCGGTTGTTATTTCGTAATAAACCGGCTATTATAATAAGGGGTAACACTAATAATATATTATAGGCCCCTAAGATGCGGATATAGCGGAATTAGTAGATATCGGCTTAGTGCGATTAATTCAGTATAATAGGCCGTATAGAAGGCCTTGCTTAATAATTAGTACGGTTGTTTTAATAGAATAGTACGTGTAGGTCCCGTTCTTCGGGCGCAATATAGTTAGATTAACGGTTTTCGTAGCTATACCGCTAAAAGCTTGAAATAAGGACTATCTAGCTACTGCCCTTAAAGGGTAGATCGAATACTATATAAGAAGGGTTATATTAGTAGGTAGATAGGGTAGTAGTAAATTAGTGTAGTATTCGATAGAGATCTAAGAGGAGAGGGAGGAAGGCAGGCTAGTTAGCCTAACGCTAAGCGCTAAGCCCTGCCTAAGGCATCCGGACCCTAGCTTTACTTAGTCTAGTTACATGCCAAACACGTGTAACCTCTAACATCTAGCTAATCTTATAAGTAATTAAGAAGGTCTCGAAGGACGAGATTAATAGCTATACTATTAACTCGCTAGTATAAGAGCCTCGTTCTAGAGGCGGTAAATCGATAAGGACTTAAGTTAGTTTACTATACTTATTAACAAACTAACAATTAATAGCTTAGAAGTGCTTATAGCTATACTAAGCCTTCTAAGTATTAGTACTAAATTATCGATAACTAAGGGCGTTAAGAAGCGCTATTTCAACCCTCTCTCGCTAGTTCTCGAAGTTATACTATACTCGTACTATTATTAAGGTATAAGACTTTAAAAGAGCCTTATCTACGTATAGATTAATTGCTAATATTATCTCTTTAAAGGCCTTAGAAACAAGGCTAGAATATGCGACACTATACGCTATAGTATAGCGAGCTATTACCTACCTAAATTTATCGATATTAGCTTCCGCTATATTCCTTAGAATCGTAGCCGTACGCCTTGCCTCGTTGCTCTCGCTTGCTACCTATATTTTGTTAATATTAATATAGTCTTATAAGGGTATTATATCTCTTTCCGGGTATACGATAATACTATATATCTTAAGAAGGTATTCTATAGCGTTGCTAGATACTAATTTCTATACCCTTAGGCTATCTACCGGATAGTGCTTATAGTAGAAGTATTTGTATCTTTAGCTATTCCTAGTAGGCTCCCTATCTTACGGATCTCGGACGTATAACTATAATAGTAGATCTGTGTTATTCTTCGTATAGATAAGCTTCTTCTACTAAGCGAGCGTCGGTAGTATAGGCTTCGGTACTAGTATTAGTATTAGAAGAAAGGCTAAGGAAGAAAACATCGATTACTAGGTTTAGGGCTCGTCCGGTATCGGATTTAGTACTATATCGTCTATGCTATTCGTACGCTTACGTTTCCGTAGCTTCTAGCTTTCCTATTTAGGATCTTAGGTATTTAGGAAATTTTCGAGCGCTCGTTAGGTCGGTTAGCGATTTTCTCGGATCTTTATTATAAGGAAGAAGGTAGTTAGGTTCTAATTAGAAAAAATAGAATTAGAAATTTTAAAATTTAGCTTTAGAGGCTAAGTGCGGCCCCCTTTAATTAGGCTATCCGAAGCTAAGAGTATAGGTTAGCGAGTCTAATTAAGGCTTAGTATAGACCCTATAATGCAAACTCGAGCTCTCGGAGGCAGATATAGAAAGCTAAATACTAATCTTCGACTAATTATTCTATACTTAATTAATAATAATAATCTTACTACTACCCTTAGTACCCTTACTATCGATTAGACGGTATAGCACCTTGTAGATATAAGCCTTAAAATATACCTACTATAGCGGATACTACGATTTTAGCTTAAGAAAGCACTATTCCGAGTATATATACCTCCTTCCGAATTTAAGATAATAACGAGTACCTAGTACTATCCGCCTATCCTTCTGTTCTATACCCTTATATACCTTTTAAAGGCTATTAGCGATACGCTCTTAGTAGTTAGCAGCCCTTTAAACGGTCTCCGCCGCGTAGATAAGGCTCTTCGTTATCTTTCTCGTAATCCTTCGAAATAGTAGCTATAAGCCCTTCCTTTCTGTCTCCCTAATATACTACTCGAAGTCCGCCTATTCTATATACTTAATAAACGAAATATCGTCCGAATTAGCCTAATAATTATTTACCTAATTAGCATTAATAAGAGGTAGATAGACTAAGCGGATATTCTTTAGCTATTATTAAAGCCTATAGTCCTATAGAGCGAGAAAGGCTTATATCTTAGATAGAAAGTAGTACAATAAATAAGGTAGTAAATACTAGTAATAATACTATAACCTCGTCTTTAGAGGCCGCTAGCGACTTAGTAACCTAGTAGAATTAGCGACCTTTGTATTCTAAGTAGGTTCTATCTACCTACCTCGAAGCGGTTTATCCTCCGAGCCTATTAAAAGAGCTTAATTTTTAGTAAGAAACAAGTAACAAATAACCTAATTTCGTATAATTAAAGAGATCTACGTACGCTATAGTACAACCGTTAAGCCCGTTAAATTGCCGACTAAACACACTAAATATTCGAATATTCAGTGACCTCGTATTTATATTTACACCCAATATTGAATATGAATATAAATTGAATCCTATTCAATATTCAACATCTATAATTATACCTCATTGCAACGTAGCCTGCGACAGTAAGAGATCGGATGGACCAAACGATCGAAAACACGTTCTTACGAAGTCCCGTCTTTGGCACATTCGCGACAGTAACCATGAGCTGTGCTCAAAATCCCAAAGACTTTGGTGTCTACGGCTTGAGAACACGGGGCATCTTGGTTTTATTATAGAAAGAGTTCCAGTCAGACGGATCACTCCAAAGTAGCGACATCGCGATATCACTTCCAAGTTGTTCCAATTCCAGTCAATTTCCCCGTACGAATATCCTTCCTCATCGGGCTTAGCATGACCAGGGTAGGTGAATGACAGGGCCAAAAGGAAAGAGTTCAAATAGACAGCGTGCACCCAGTTTCCGGTCGCCGTTTGGATCTTCTCCGACCTCCAAGATGACTCAAGACGACACGCCCAGTGGTGTACCCCAGAGGTTCAGTGCCGATGGTGTTGTCCAGTACTGTCCGGGGAACACAACCCTTTGCCATATCCCATTGGATTCACCATTGATTCCTGTTCTCAAGAAGATATATGAAGCTATAAAAAGTCATCCGGTGCTTTCGGTGCCAATTCATCTCCTACCGCAAGACTCGTGGCATATGACGACTTGCGATGGTGTGATCAAGTACGGGTATTGGCCACCTGGGAGAAGCGAGAAGGATTTGCAGGAGTTCACTGAGGAAGTTAGGGAGAGGATGAAAGCTCTTGGAGAGAAGTTGGAAGGGGAGGGATTGGCTTCGCCGTATCATATTCGTGGGAGGGGATTCGACGCTTGTGTCAATGGTATTGCGCTTGAAGTTGAAGGGGCTACAGAGGAAGAAGAGCGGCGTCTAAGACGACTTAGAGACACGCTTGCGGACGCTTTCGGCTTCAAACAACCTACTCATGATACTTATGTGAGTGGCTCTGTCTTCGGAATTGCTATTTCCAAATGCTGACTTTCTGACGACAGACGTTCCATGTAAGCATTGCTTACCTGCTCCGTTTTCTGGAAGACGAGGAGCGACAAGAATTGAACAAATTGCTTTCTCGGTTTTTAGATGATATCAAGGTCGAGTTCCAGCTTGGTGATGTGGAGTTCTGCACGTTCGACAACATGCATAAATTCGATAGATTGTTTTATTTAGGCATGACAGGAGAGTAGTACCTTGTAATGAATATGTGCCTCCGGACTACTCAATGTCACCGTTGGCTTTCTTTTTTCGAGCACTCGTATTTCCGACACAACTGACGGCGTATCTACCCTTTTCACGTTTTCCCGAGCTCGAAGTCCGCAGGAATTGGACGAAGGGAGGTCGTTTGCGTCGGCTGGAGATTGCATGTCTACGTCGGCTAAAGATAAGAACAGAGTTGTGCAAGGATATATTTACAGATAGCTATTGCCCTTGTATCAGAGGTCCGAGTGACCGGCAGTAGGAGAGACTATAGAAGAGTCGCACACAAATACCGCCACGTGGTACAGACGACCGCCGTGACTGGGAGAAGCAGAATAGCCAACAGCGTTACAGCCGCTGACCTATTCCAAGGGTAGAGTTTTGAGCAAGCCGATTCCTAAATTCTCGCTATACAAGGCATATTGGACTTGCAATTGGACAATATCAAAGTTTACCGGTATTCCCCAAGGGCCATGGATTCCCCGGAGACAGGGGGCAGCTGTACACCGTTCGGGACACGCGTAAGAAAGAGTACCGATGTGGGTGCGGCACCGTTTTGCCATGAATAGCCTAATGTAGATGCCATATGAGTAGGTCTCATACCTTCATCAGAGGTAGACACTCGCAGGTCCCAACATACGTAGGGCAATCACTATGGCTACCAAAGATGCAGAAAAAGCCTCGATGCAAGAGGCCATGGAAATATCTCTCGCCAACGAGGCCAACGACCAAGAACACACTCTCACATTCTGGGCCGCCCTCCGCCTCTACCCAAAAGGGATCTTCTGGGCCTTCGCCATGGCCACAGCCGTAATCATGGAAGGCTACGACACGAAACTCATCGGGACACTCTACGCCCAACCCGCATTCCAAAAAGCATATGGCCACCGTACAGCCAAAGGCACATACCAAATCTCAGCGCCTTGGCAAGCCGGACTCAACAATGGAGGAGCAGTTGGACAGTTCGCTGGACTTTTAATCGCAGGTTACTTGAGTGAAAGGTACGGGTTTCGGAGAACGATGTTGGTGGGACAAGGTCTCATAATCGCGTTTATTTTCATAACGTTTTTTTCGCCCAACTTAAAGGTTCTCGAGGTCGGTTTGATTTTGTTTGGTGAGTATATATCCGAATCCAAAAAATGGATGGTGTTGAACTTACTTTTTTTGCTATAGGTGTGCCGTTGGGATTCTTCCAGGCAACGAGTGTTATATATGCTCTTGAACTGGGACCGTTGCCTTTGAGGGCGTATTTGACGAATTACATCCATCAATGTTGGGTAGGTCTGGCCTCGTCTGAATACATTGTGGTCGATACTGATGAAGTCCCAGGCATTCGGGCAGCTCTTAGCCATTGGTGTTCTTCGAGGTCTGTTAAGCAGGACGGACGAATGGGCATATCGCATACCATTCGCAATACAATGGGTGTGGCCAGTGATTCTCATCCCCCTCATCTACCTCGCTCCAGAATCACCCTGGTGGCTCGTCCGTCGTAATCGGCTGCAAGAAGCCAGAGATGCCGTCAAGCGCCTGACCTCTCCGAAGAATGTCGATTTCGATATTGACAAGAATATTGCGCTGATGGTGGTCACGACTGAACATGAACTGGCGGTGGAAGCGAGTACGACTTACTGGACCTGCTTTCAAGGAACGAATCTGCGAAGAACGATAGTTGTCATGTTCATCTATTGCATTCAAACGTTAAATGGAAATCCTCTCCGAGGTTACTCGACATACTTCTTTGAGCAGGCCGGACTGCAGACAACCCAAGCTTTCAATATGAGCATAATCGGCTTTGCTGTGGCTATTGTTGGAGGACTGTCATCGGTGAGTGGGACCACCTCTTTGCATCTGGTTGCCTTTGTCAGCTAACGCAAACTGCTCTCTCTGTAGTGGGCATTCTTACCCTTAGCAGGTCGACGCACGATATACCTGATTGGCCTGGCCATAATGACCATTATCATGGCTTTGATCGGCGGTCTCGGGATCCCACAAGCCCACACTCCCAAGTCAGATTACTCCTGGGCCATCGGCTCGCTGCTCGTGATTTCATCTTTCGTCTACTACAGCACAATTGGTCCATTGACCAACACGTTTTGTGGCGAGATACCTACTGCAATGCTACGCAGCAAATCGATTGCGCTCGCACGAAGCCTTTACATCATCTCGACCATTATCGCCAACACCCTCACACCATATCAGCTCAATCCAACGGCGTGGAATTGGGGCGCTAAAACCGGATTTTTCTGGATGGGAGGGTGTGTGATTTCGATCGTCTTTGCGTGGTTCTGTATACCAGAGACAAAAGATCGCACGACGGCCGAGGTTGACTATCTTTTCGAGACAAAGGTCTCTGCTCGAAAGTTCTCCAAGACCCCGGTAGCTTTTACGGCTGCTGTGAGTAATATTGAGAAGTGAAGATTTACAGGGGCGGTATTGTGCTGGCTTGACGAAGAGTATGCGGCTCGAATATGTGGATGATGTCAGCAGTTTTGAACAACTTTTATTTTCATGCTCCAGAGCAGTCCCACAGTGTCATCGAGCTACATGAAAGGGGGCGGAACTCCAAAGTACCAGATGCAAAAGTACTTTGAAGTCACTCGCCTCTCTTTGCGTAATTGCGCATCTGAGAGTCTTTGCCCGAAGTCGGCGAAAAAGTCACTCCGGCAGATGCAGTCCTTCACGCATTCCATCCGCTCTACAGCCCATCTGTTGTCGTCTCGATCCATACACTCGATGGCATATAGGAATAGAGGGCGGAGATATCCCGGGTTGAGCTTGCCCTCGTGGTAGCAGTTCCAGTCGCCGTCAACGATGCTCCTTATTTCCTGCATTGCCCGTCTTGAGCCGGTGGACTTGGAGATAGGATCGCCGAGAACACGGTCCATCTCGACAAATTCGGCATGATACGCAGCAGCACAGAGTCCAACAAGGGTTATGATGGGCTCCGCGATGTCCGCTGCCAGATTTGATCGCAGATCAATCGGGCTCAGGCGCTGAATAGCAGAGCGAGTCTCCCAGAGGGCCACCAAACGTGATCTGACGTGCAGCATTGACTTCACCACTTCTTGTTGATCTACACCCGTGATACGCGACCGATGATAGTGAGTTAGCTTGGCGATTTGTCCAGAAATCATTTGAAGCTGAAAGTAGAATTCGAAAATCGGGTGTTGCAACATGTCGTAGATCGATGCATCAAAATCGATGCCGTCCACAGATCGAGGTATAGGCTGTCCTGATTGGCAGCATAGGGACAGCGTGGTAAGGCTGTCCGAAATGAGACCGTTGCCACCAGCACGTAAAGCGTTCCCGTGTAAAATGCGAAGCCAGCATATGATTCGCGCTGACTCCTCGGAATGAGACGACTTATTCTCATGCCCGGTTCCTAATATGTGGATGAGAGATTCACTCGGACTAGCCAAGAGAGGAACCGTTTCTTGGTGTACGAAGTCGAAAAGGCATAATAAGAACGTTGCCGCAACGATCGCGTCAAAGTCCTGCTCCGTGTTGTCGATGGATTTCTCGTATGCATTTCTGGAGGAATGGTAGAATGACACAGCACGAGAAGATGATAGCCCGTATCGTAGAGCCTTGTAAAGTGTCGAAAGTGCGATGATGGCTGAGGCGACGACAGTGCTGTGCGTGCCGAGCTCAGCAAGGTAGCATTTGACGATCTTCCAATTACGAGCATCGAATGGCGTTATAGCAGGGCAATCCACCGTGTCCACAAAGTAAGGAAAGGCAGTCTGCGAAGGTACTTCTCGGGCCCTGAGTAGATCCATGGTCGTTGTAAGCTTAATGTCTCTCGATATAAGAGTGGCCGAATCGTAGACCGAGCCACCATCATCGGTGTTAGTATCATTTTGACGCCTGAGCGCAACGTGCAGACGCCCAGTCACGTCGACAATCGCACTATCGGGACCCATATAAGGATCTTGGCCATCATGTGCAAGGCACACTGGGGCGGCTTTGAGGCCGAGCGTCTTGGCGAGGGAAGCATCTTGCGCTTTAATGTAGTGTGTACCTCGATTACATCGATCGATATGTGAGACTAGACGGCCCTGTACTGGTAGTAGTCGCGTGAGCTCGCACGATTCCACCGAGCCCACCGAGGAAGCGCTGCTCGAGCCCTGAACGTCGGCGGCTCGCTGAATCTTCAATGGCTTGTAAGCGCAGCGACGTTGCAGCCTTACGCAATTGTCACAGGACGGTCTCGCCTCATCACCTGCATAGAGCTAGACCGGTTAGCGAAAGCAACGCTAATTAGACGCGCTCATCTCATCAAGTTTAAACCTCACATTTCACCTTCCGCGAGCGGCAGGTCATGCATCCACTGCGCACACGACCATGGTAGACACGCTTGGCTACCTTGCGCTCCTGCTCGGGCGTCGTCTCAGAAGGCATGTCGGCTTTGCTGTCACTAGATGTTTGGCAATGACCCTGGCGCCGAAGCGGTGGCGTGAGCAAGGTTCGAGCGCATACTACGACTCTGTGCCTTTTGCGAGACAGGGGACTCTTTGGTTGGGAATGAGTGATGTCTGACCGGGTCGGCTGGCGCGGAGACGACCACATCTTATCTCCAGCCGAGAAGCGAGCATGATCTTCTACTGACCGGGGCTCCCTGCGAGCCGTAATCAACCCTCGCCGACAGGCTGCGTCCGGAGGGCAACGTTACAAGCATGCCGCGTGCAGCTCGTGTAGTGATGTTATTTCCAGTCGAGGCGGAATCGAAGTGCTAAAGCTGCCACACCACCTCCTACCTGTAGCCATGCATACCGCAGCTGTTGAAGCACTGGAGCTTCGCGACCATGGAAACCGACTCTCTCCGACTTTGCGACTACCTCGTGGACATTGTCAAAGAAGCAGGGCGTATCATCGTCAGCGCACGACCATCAGCGCAGTCCGCTACGGACAAGAAGAACTGTACGTGGATCGGTCATCATGCCCAGTCTTAGTTGACCTGAGAGTGCATAGCCGCAGACATCGTGACCGAAACCGATAAGGCCGTGGAATCCTTCATACATGGCTGCGTCAGCAAGCGATATCCAGAATACTCGTTCATCGGCGAGGAATCGTACCGCGCTGGCGAGTGCATCTCAGACAAGCCCACATTCGTGGTCGATCCGATTGACGGAACCTCCAACTTCGTCCACGGTTTCCCAGAAGTATGTGTATCGATTGGTGTTCTTGTAAACAGGATGCCCACCGTTGGCGTCGTATACAACCCTTTTCGACGTGAGCTGTGGACCGGGGTGAAAGGACATGGAGCTTATGTGACTATCCTAGACCTCCAGCATAACGACTCCCTTATGGCAAGACAGAAACTGCCATTGAATTCAGCGCCTCTGGAAGGACTAAGGCTTGCATGCATTGGCATCGAATTTGGAAGTGATCGCGAGGGCCCAAACTTCGACTTGAACCTAAAGGTCTTTTCTACGCTTGCTCGGACGATTGGATCAGGAGGTCGGTTCGTAAACTCGTTACGATGCACTGGATCTGCTGCCCTAGCGATATGCAGAGTCGCCGCAGGACAGCAGGAAGCATTCTGGGAGTGCGGCTGTTGGGCATGGGACGTAGCTGCCGCATGGTGCATATTGCAAGAAGCTGGCGGGATCATGGTGGATGGTCATCCTGGCAACTGGGACCCTCCTATTGACAATCGTCGATATCTTGCAGTAAGGCCAGCGGTTGAAGGCCAGAAGACTTTCGTGGCAGACTTCTGGTCTGTCCTCGGTGACGAGAGATCCACCTATGGGCCCCCGGGGTCTGAGTAGAGCAAATAGAAGAAGAATTCAGGTTGCGTAGGGTAACTTTGACTTTCATTAACATTTGACAGGACTTTCACGACATTTCAAAAGCATGCAACTATCTCAGTAGGTAGGGCTATCTCCCACAATTCGGGTTGACAACCTGAGGCATCAATATTATGTAAGACACATCAGGCTCCACCATCCAACAGATCAATAGGCACATAAATCCCACTCACACACTAACTGCAACAGCGCCTCAGTTCCGCGCCATGGTTGCGGACTCCTCAGTCGCCGCTCCTTCCATCTACTGATTATTATTAGGACAAATCGCATCCATATACTTATCATAATCCGAGTTGGCATAAAAATTCTCAAAATCCCCTATAACATCCACAACACAATGATCCGCTCTCCGATCGCAAAAAGCCCTCCTACTATCAACCTGCGATCTCGGCTGAATGAAGGCACTTAGACCGCCGTCAGATCTCCAAGCCCTGCGCCCAGCGACCCCTCTCCCAGTGCTGATCGAACAGAAATCAGGCATGACAATCACACTCATCTTTTTCCTGAAATGCTTCTCCGCCCAGTCGAAAGCTTGGTTAGCAGCTTGGACGGCGAGATCATTGACGCCGTTGGGGTACATGGCTGAGATGAAGGGCACGAGAGCTGCGCCGTTTGCGGCGTGATCTTTTTGAGCGTTGCCCCAGCAGTCGAGATATGTGCCGACGTCGAGGTCTGTGGCGAAAACGTGAATTTTGTTGGTACCTTTTACGAATTGGACTTCGTTGATCTCGGGGATGATATTGAGCCCTGAGAGACCGTGTGTTCGAGCGTATTGATAGCAGGTGTCTGCTCCGTTGTATTTTGGTGCTTCTGGACTAATGCCTGACGATGCCCAGATTTTGAGGTAGACTTGGCGTTGCATGCCCAAATCTCGAACTAGTTTTGCGGCCTTGTCGGCGATGTAGGAGGTTTGAAGGTCGAGGACGATCAAAAAGTCGGAGCGGAGGTTTGCCCCTTTGTAGGCTCGGAGGATTGTCTCGAGACTGTCGAGCTTTGGTTTCGATTCTGCTTGGATGAGGTGACTGCCTCTTCCGTAGATTTTCAAGGGTGTCCCAAGGAGGTAGTCTGCTGTATGGTCTATGACAGCGACACCAGCCGGTCTCTTTTGGTGGCCTAGTGCTACGCTGAGTGCGTTCATCTGCCCGTCGAGATTGTCTTTGACCGTGTGCGTGTTCATCAGATAATCGTGGAAAGCTATCAGTACACCGTCCTTGGTGACTTTGACATCGATCTCTACCCCACTGACGCCGCTGAACTTAGGCGCTCTCAGGAAAGAGTCGTAGCTGTTCTCTGCGGTGCAGTAGACGTCTAGCTTGTCGTGGAATACTCCACGATGGGCAATGGTCTGCCATGCGGCAGTGGGAGATGCGGACAGCGCAAGCAGCGCCAATGCTCGTAGATCAAGAGATCGAGTAAGAAGCATCTTGCCGACAATTAGAAGCTTGGAACTTCTTGTGTGGATGGATGTCTGAGGGAGTTTGAGTGATTGTTGATGTTGTCCGTCGAGCCGCGTGTATGTTATTTATGTTCCCATCCATCGTTCACCTGTGTAGTCTGAGAAGTAGTGTACCTACGAGCTATTCCGAGCTCTTTGTGGCTCCCTGTAGTTCGACTTCCTAGTGCACGGGCGAAAGATGGGATCTCTCATAGCACGTGCGTGCACATTCGACTGTCAATGGCGGCATAGTGCTGTGATGTTGGTTTTCCCCGAATCTGGACCTTGATTTTGAGTCTGTCCAAGATCTCGTTGCTCGTCGGCTGCTAACTTCTCGTATGTCAAGGTTGACGCAGACATGAGTTCATTGAATATCCTAGGCACAGACCAAAAATAAGTGTCCTCTAAAGCACCTCTAGACTATGTCCGACAATTGAGAGCAACGGGGCACTGTGCCGCAGGGTCCTCCCAGACTTTGGACGTTACCACTGAGCCCGCTTATTGATGATTGTGGTGATGAGCGACTACATGCTCGTATAGCGTGCCTATATCACAATCAAAGTCAGCATGAATATGTGAATGTGAATGCACATCGTCGACCTGAAGTGGCCGTTTCCGCCAAGATCTTCCTCCATGGCATGGTAAATGCACCGAACCAAATACGGCTTGAATGAACTTGATGAGGAAAATCAAAACATTCTCCGTACCTGATGGTTGCATCCGTGTCAATGTTGGTCATCCCTGGGCCGTAGTATAATTATGGACCACAAACGTAGCCAGGAGCTCGTATCAGTCAGACTTTGTGCATCGTAGGCTTCAAATGACATATCGACCAACCAGCCACCGTAGCATCTGGCTGCCAGGTCTACTCGATTGTGCCATACGAACAGCCATTGCCGCATCATCTTCCTGGCGTGCTCCATGTTCTTCGCGTCACGATCACGATCTGCCGTCGCTGCAATCTATGCGCAATTTCTCCGTGCCTCCGGCCGCAGGCAAGTGGACAATAAGGAAGAGAGTTCCCTTCGGAAGTGGGAGGCTTCCTTATGCCGTGCTCTGCACGGACCTCAGCTACAATTTCGGAGACATACGTCATCACAGACAGATACAGCCAGCCTTCTCCCTGCTTTCTCGCTTTTCGATTGGATATCCACGTAGCCTGATCGCACAAGTCTTAGCCACTCTGGCTTTACCTTCCCTCGGTTGTTTATTTTGGAGGGTTGCAGCTGCCCGGCACAGTTAGGCAGAGACTACCGGCGAGCTATCCGGACGGGAAACATCGAAGACGCGACACCCTCGCGATCCTAAGAATACATCGACTAACGAGGCTACGATATAATTAGTAAATGCTTAGTTCTACTCTGTGGTTGCAGATTCGCGCGTACGAACTTACGCCACACTGGAGGGACGCAGCTGCCTGGCACAATTGGTAGCCTTCTCTTTGCGCTTGGTGGTTGGGCCCAATTTCCCAATTTTCAATTGGCCTAAACCCTTGCTAACCTAGAACAGGAAGAAATTGATAGCCTTCCGATACTGTGAATGATCGGCCTATATCAGGATGTGGATCGGGCCGCCTGCGCAGTTCCACGGTCAAAACCAGACCGTGTACTGGTCCAATTTGAAGCTTCATTGTCGCATGGTATGGGCCTGTAAATGCGGAGTTGATTGTACGAGGGCAGACTAGAATAGGCCTTGTCTATGCATGTGGCGCAGCGCCCTCGTGATTCCACCTTATGCCTGTAGTTGCAGATTCGCGCTCCCGTATAGAAGGTACGAACCGAGGTGTGAGGCTGTGAGCTCACCTCACCTCGTCTTGCAAGCCAATGCCAACACCAGTAAGCTGCAACGATTTTGTGGACCGCGGCTACAGAATATTCCAAGCCATTCCCAGCACGTCCATCTGTACCGGTACTTACCAACGTACAAATCCAATTCCCATTCGTTGGCTGCCTCGAAAGAAGCATTGTGGGTTGCCATGCAGCGGGAAATATCTCCGGTGTGCTGATCCAATGAGAAGGCGCTCGACGATCACGTTGATGCAATCTGGACATAACTTAGCGCTAGTGAAGAGCCTGATACTGCTACAGCGTTTTGCCGCATCGGAGTGAAAGCACTAATCCCAGATTTCATAGTTCGCAACGAACCAGAGACCCCAATTCTACGGGCTGCTAGTGTTTACTTGCACTCCAATACGACAAGACGTTGTACTGCTCAGCGCTTGGCAGAGCCAGGATATCTCGAGCACATGATACGGACTTGGCGAGCCGAGTCTTCCTGGAGGAATTGCAAAAGTTATAAGTAGGTCCAACGATTATTGCGGGACCGAAGCCTGCAGAATGTTCTCCACGCCGACATGCTAATTCTAGTTCTACTCCTTGGCCTCTCCGCCAGCATCGTCTCCGCAACGACATTGCAACGTCGAGATTATGCGCAGACCGACTTCTTCAGTGCCATCCACCGGAACATCTGCAGCGAGGTGAATGACAAGCAACACTCCTACCACACCGAATCATGCGAGTGCACGGCAACGAACGCCCTTCGAGCGTCCTGTCGCTCTGCAACCAATGAACTGCACCAGCACATCAGACAATGCAGCACCCAGAACAGGAATGTGAAATGCTTCCCATCCGAGAACTCGCCCAAGACTGGACCAGATTGCGCCTGCAAGCCGGAGGAGAGGAAGAGCGGAGTTAAACTGCCAAACGACAGCAACGATATCGCCTGCACTGGTGGAGTGCACTTCCTTGCAGCATACGCTACGGAAGTGGAAGCCATTGACGTGTGGTCTGACATTCGAGCTTCTCCGAATAACAACGTCATTACTTGTTGGGTCCAAGATAACAGAGGCCGGACACTTACTTCGTATGCTCCGTGCAATTATGCAGGCGGAGTGCCGCTCCGGATCCCACTCCATGGTGCTGGCGGCCAAGACGTTGCAACATATCAAGCCTGCATTCAAACCACCACCAATGACCGCGAAAGAGTCAATATTTCATGGGTTCTTACAAGTCCCTTTGGCCAAACCCAGAAACGAGACGAATTGACAGCGGGTATTAGCTTGCGAGAAGCCGTAGACTACGATGACAGTGCGGCTACATCAGACGTGCAGGGTAACATCGTTGTACGCAACGGGCATGGAGATGAGATATTTTTCCCGAATAAGGGATAGGTGGCGCCTTCCCTTGAATTGAGTAGGTGCGGTGCTGATTACTGTCCACGGAAGGTAGTATACAGAGTGAGCGACAGTACGAAGGTTCGACTCCTTCGACGAGCTGCCGGTGCCGGGTTTGTCCTCTGTGGTGGTTAGGGAAAGGTGGATGGTTATTGGACACTGTGTAATTAGCAATTAAAATAAAAAACGATCTTATGGCTCGATAGGCGGCGCCTTGCTTGTGTGGTCATTCAAGTTCGGCGACCTCGACCTCGTTAACGCAATGATGCACACGCACTCTAGACGCCTTCGTGTGACCACTTGCTAGAGGGAAGAGTATTGGCAGGCAATTTTGAGTAGAATTGATCATGGCACCCTGCAGTCTCCGTGTCCACACCGCCGCATAGCTACTTTTTTCTCATGCCCGGCTCTTCTTATACACTTCCTGCCACCTTCCCCCTTCTACCTGTGACTTCAATCTTCATTTCACGTGGACTTGAGCGTCGATCGGCACTTTCGGAACTTCTGTAGATGGTCTCGTGTGTGGAAGAAATCTTTATCGCAAGGAGGTGTGGTTAGGTGTGTGGGTCTTGTCGCGTGGTTGTCCGATAGAGTGGTTGGATGGAGCAGCCTACCTGATAAGCTACGAATGGTTGGAACTTGGGCTCAAAGGCACGGGGTTGAAACGGAGATAGCCGCATGGTTTGAAGGTGCACGTGACCGAATCGACATCCAACTTCCTGGAGCACGTTCGTGGAACGTAAGAACGATGATGCATCCAAAGACATTTGCATCATTGCCTGCCTTCAACTTATCACTAAATGCCCTCGCCAAGGGTGAACAACGTGCTTGCGATAAGAACTTCCTGATACGGTCGCAAAATCGCGGAAGCTTATGCATAACGCACGTCAAAATCAAGGTTGCGAACCCCAACGTGGGTCTCAGCGTTCACATGCAAAAAGCGTTCGGCGGCTTGGTGGGACCTTTAAGTCCTCAAGGAAATCTTGTTGAGCTGGCGAGTCAGACATTTTGACTATCGACTGACACCTTCAGTGCTTAGAAGCTGTGCCTGTGCCTGTACCTGACTTCACGAGGTCAAACATCCGGGTAGGCATGATTTTTTCGAAATTCTGCCACATTTCCTCGCCTGCCACCTCTCTAGCACGAGATGCCGAATGAAAGTGATGACAGGCCTACGTCTTTCGCTTATCTGTACGCCGCCATGATTCAACAACGACTCCCCCGAATCCGTAGCACGATCAAACGAGCATTATCGCAAGACCATGGCTCCGCACAACGCATGACTTTCATCACACATGATAGTCCACAGAGCCATTCACCGCCACCATCGTACAGAACAGATGAATCAGAATCCTCAGACGGACATCCAGACTTTTCTCCGCTCGATCCCGACATGTCGCCGAGTAGGCCTTCGAGCTCTGGCAGCTCTACCCCAGCCCGTCAAGATGAGAACGCGAGCGGTGTGCGATGGAGATTCGCTGTGGCAGGCTTTCAAATCCTTCGACTTGCAGAAGCAGAAGCTGCGATGTCGAGCGAGAATACCAATTTGGTGCGAAGTCAATACATAAATGGCACTGCGTGCATTCTGAAAGGTCTGCCAACAGAGCTCAGCCCCGCCGAGACGCTTATCCTCCGCGAGGCGATTGCAGATTTTCTTGCAGAGGAGCAGAGCCGCGACCGACGAATGGTTCTTCGAGCAGATCCAGTACTTCCAACTCGGCGCTCAGCAGCATTGCAGCAGCAATCCGTGCTCCATCGAGCGGTGGCATTTGCTACCCTTCATGTGTTCCTCATTGCGTCTTTCATACTGCCATATATGCAGATGCTCCTACGCCAAGCATATCAGTTCGATCGAAAGCACAAGATAAGCGATCGAGTGCTCGCAAACAGTTTCGTGGCTGCCGATAAGATGGGCAGAAGTACCATGACGATAGCTGGTCAGATCTGCGCTATGGATGATGGCAGGGTAGGTGAGCTGATGAAGGTGGCTGGTATGTATGTGGTGCAAGGCTTCGGTGGCGGGATTTATGATGGCATTGGAGAGAGTCTCTCAGCATTCGGCATCCGTGCGGAGGAGAGACCGAACATTGTGGCATCATCCCGTGATGCAGCGATCCCGCGTGAGAGACCGCAATCCAGCTCATTTTGATGGCAAGTCAGGTGACATGGCCCGAGGACGATTTTGTGATACCCCACCTGCACAGTTGTGCTTTTTGCTGCGTTGAAGCGATTGGGCATTGCTACGGGATAGACATTGATAGGGAATAGATCCGCATACATTACCAACCTCCTCAGTCGCAGAGTGGGAGCACGATCACTACCAGTAAAGCGGGCGTTCTCGACACAATCTGACGGTAATCGAGTGCCTGCAGTCGTCTTTAGCGATGTCCGAGAAAACAGTTGATCTTGATGGCGTCAAGTACTACACCCTGCTGGAAGGCCCAAAACCAATGGCAGAACCACCAATACTACTTTGCCATGCTCTGATGAGCAATCTCCACATGTACGACGATACAGTGAAGGCACTCAACGGAGCAGGTTACAACACGATTCGCTTCGATCACATAGGACACAACAAGACACCACCTCCTCACGACGAGAATGCCAGATATCACATGGACGACATTACACGGCACATGCACGCGATTGTCCAAGCAGGCACCGGACAGGCAAAGCTCAAAGCATTCATCGGCTGCAGCATCGGAGGCGTACTTGCTCTGCGTTACGGCATGCTATACCCAGAAGAAGTAGAACAGATCTTCTCCGTCGCCGCACCAGGTATCGCTACGCCAGACCAGGCGAAAGGTCCAGAAGGACTCTGGGCGAAGCGCATCGAGCAATTCGAAGACGATATCAGAAGCGGGCACGACACGTTATGCCAGCAAACCGTGCAGCGCTGGTTTCCCGGAGGCAAGAAGTCGCAAGATCTTGCGGCGCGAGAGCGAGCCTTGCCCATGAATCAAACTGTTACGCTCGAAGGGTATAAGATTTTGGCTGATGCTATACGAGGCTATGACTATACTTCAGAGATTTCGAAAATTCCGAAGAACAGGGTGGTTGTTGTTTGCGGGAGTGAAGATTCTGCTGCGGATTCAGAGCAGCTGGAGGATCTTGCGGAGGAAATTTGTGGTGTTTGGTGGGAGATGCGCGGGGCTGGGCATTTGCCTCTGCTGCAGTACCCTGAAGAATTCAATGGGTTTGTTTTGAGGTATTTGAGGGGAGGGGTGTCCGATTCTGCGCCAAAGTAATGTGCATATCGTTGTGGTCGGGATGGATCGATGAGATGGAAATTGCTGGGGATAGAACTACTCATGCGATTGCTGGTGATGTGTTCAGTGGGATATCGGCGGATCACTCCATGCTGTGCTCTGGACATGTATACTTGGCGTCGTGTTGATCATTCATCAGTACGGTAGGTAGTAAGGAAGGGAAGAGATGGTCAACTCCGGCTTCGGCCCTCCTCCGACCTGAAGCATTCCGAGAGTCGGCGTTCCAGGTGTTCTTGTGCATGGCCAGAAGTGTTGGTGCTTACTGCGTAGGAACGACCATCCATCACGGACCATTAATCAGCATTCGCTAGCCTTCTTGGTGTCACCCGTCAATCAATGCGATTCGACGGCCGACGGGAGGAAGCAGGACTAAAAGGTGGCATGTGGTGAAGGCCGACGGCGCAGATGTATTCTATTGGACGCCGTCACTTGGCCCATGTTTGTGGTAGTGCGCAGGGCGTATGTACTCTGCGCAGAGAAGTGAGTCGAAGGCAAAGGCATTGTTACATCTCTGTTTCGCCCTCCCATCACGCCTTCCAATCTACACATCGGGCAGGCTTGCCGCGCCTTGTGCCATCGGGACCTGACCTGACGTTGGGCTCCCACGATGGCGACCACGGAGCAGGAGCAGGAGCAGGAGCAGGAGCAGGAGCAGCAGCAGCAGCAGCAGCAGGAGCAGGAGCAGGAGCAGGAGCAGGAGCAGCAGCAGCAGCAGCAGCAGGAGCAGGAGCAACACGGCGAACTTGCCCCGGTTGACTTCTCGTCGCTCCTCCCCGACGTGACGGCCTCAGCCCCGCTTCGACCCGATCAATGCCCGCTGCACCCGGATCTTGACGAGTGAGTCTTGGCATCAACCAACGTCGAAGCGCGTGCGTTTGGCTAAGACATGTGCGGTACAGCTGCCTCTGCAATGGCTTCGTGGGCGACTGGGACCAGCTCGGATCGGCCTCATCATCATCAGAGCCTCTGCCAGGCATTGCCGAGCCAGACTACAGCAAGTTCGAAAACTGGATCCCAAGATTCATCCACCCAGAAAAGCCATGCGACTACTGTAGATCGAAACGTCTGGCCTGCTACATGCAGCGAGGCGAGCCGTTCTGTACGTCGTGTGCCGTCCTGTTCAGGGAATGCTCCTTCACCAAGTCGAATACGCTGGAGTCGATGAACTATGCCGACAAAGATCTGGGGACTTTCCTGGATACATTACATACTGTCGACGAAGACGCCCTGAGAGAACGCGGAACACTCACGGGAATCAAGACGCTTCGCTCCAAGGGTATGGCCGGCGGAACAAGCACTCCCGTCAGGTCGGACGATGCTCCAGGCAGCTCAAAAAGGAACGGCATTCGTTTCCCGAGGCATGCAGTCAAGATCCTTCGTGACTGGCTTGACGCCCATGCACATCATCCCTATCCAAGCGAGGAAGAGAAGGCAGAGCTCGAGACGCAGACGGAGCTGAAGCCTGCTCAGATTGCTAACTGGCTTGCCAACGCCCGCAGAAGAAGAAAGGTCACGGAGAAAGCCAGACCAAAGGTTGCCATGTCACCCAGCTTGCGCCCAACGACGTGTCCAATCGATATCCCAAGCACGCCTGAGAAAACATGGGACGACATGAACCCCTTCGAAAGATGGCAGCATTCTCCACCTGAAAACGAACCCGCTGACTTGTCCGATATCGCCAACGCCATCGCACAAAGTGATATACCGGCCGACCATGTCTCCACATCGCCTTCGACACTTGCTCGCTCGAAGCGACGCAAGGTGAGCAGCGATGGCTCGGGCTGGTCAAAGGCACGAGCGCCGTCTTTGACTTCCCAGGAGACTGGTCAAACCTCATCTCTATCCGCATCGACCAGCGCTAGGTTCTCCAACGGATCATCTCACTCAACACACGGCTCCTTTGGATCCTTCAGCTCCAGCCTGGCTGGCAAGAAAGATCGACGACGGCGAAGAAGGCCAGCTCCTCCAGCAGCCGGACGCAAACTCACAGACGATAAGAAACGGATTTTCCAATGCACTTTCTGCACAGATACATTCAAGTCGAAATACGACTGGACGAGGCATGAGAAGTCTCTACATCTCAGCTTAGAGAAGTGGATGTGCGCTCCGCTTGGTCCGGTACTGACCGACCAAGAATCCGGCAACAAGAAATGCGTGTACTGCGATCTTCACAATCCGTCCAGCGACCATCTAGAATCTCACAATCACCGACAGTGTGAGGATAAGGGCCTTGATGCCAGAACATTCTACCGCAAAGATCATCTGCGACAGCACCTACGGTTGATGCACGGTGGTGAGATGACACCAGCCATGGATTCCTGGAAGTCCATCGCTGTCAGCATCAACAGTCGATGTGGATTCTGCGCGCAGAGATTCACCGCGTGGCAAGAGCGTGTTGACCATTTGACTGCTCACTTCAAAGCAGGTGCAAGAATGTCTGAATGGAAAGGCTGCAGAGGCTTAGACCCTGCCGTCGCTGCGCAAGTCACGAATGCCATGCCGCCATACTTGATCGGTATCGAGTCGGTGAGCCCCAATCCATTTTCCGCATCGAACAGAGCTTCATGGCGACAAGTGCAAGAATTTGGGGGAATTACTGCTCCAAAGGATGCTCACGACGAGATGCAAGATGCGCATTGTGGCGGCAGTGGATCCAAGTCCACGTGCTGGGAGATTCTTACTGTGCGTCTGGGCAAGTATGCAAAGAAGATGGCGGATGAAGGAAAGCGGATGACGGATGAGATGCTGCAGTCCGAGGCACGACAAATTCTTTACAACTCGGACGATACTTGGAATCAAACTGCGGCCGACAATCCCGAATGGCTCGATCTGTTCAAGAAGGCCCACGGCCTCAACTTCATTCCTTCCGCGGTGGGTGGCGAAGGCCTACAGATCCCCGAAGACCTTGAAACGTACGGGGACCTTGGTCTACGAATCCCTTTTGCAGTCCAACTGCGAGCATACAATCAGGCTCAGACTGGCCAGCAGCGTGTCGACGCGGCTACTCGGCCTGGGCCTTACAAGGCGGCAGCCGAGAAACGCAAGCATAATTTGCACCAGGTTTATACGCTTCTCTCCGGCGAGAATGTACTGCACGCTGACATCGAGAATTGCGGTCACGCAGAATGCGCCAAGAACATCATCGACATCAGCACAGTCAACGGTACCAGCTCACCCGGACCGACACCAAGAAGATGGTGTGATCAAGACATCACCCCAGAGTTGCGCCAGAAACTTCAGAACATCAATAGTCCTTCTGGCAGTCAGGAGCGGCAGAGCGATGATCACGAAGAATCTGAAAGAGCCGCAGCTGCAAGAGCTCGCGCGCTCCAGATCCTCGTTGATCAAGAAAACGTTGCTTGCCCTTGGCAGGCGATCGATCACGATTTAATTGCAGCGAGGGCAAGGACCCGCGGCCTTGCAACGATGGACGCTCATATGAGATCTCAGAAGACCTGCGCATGGGAAAAGTCAGATTATGATTTGGAGAAGGCTCGCGCGAGAAGTCATGGTCTGCAGGCTCTTGCCCGAGCAGAGGCTCCGGGCACAGATGACTGCATGCCAAGCGACTTCATGCTCCCCCCACCGAAGAAGTCATTCTTGCAAAGACACCGCTACGAGCTTCCCAAGGAGAAGGCTAATATGTTTGCCACCACCACAGGCGCTTGGGAAGACAGCGGTGTCATGCCTCAAGTGGTCAACACTTCTCTGACCGACATTCCGGAAAACAGCACCGGCGCCATGGCAGAGTTCCTGGGCGGGAACCTCGGCGCTGACTTGCCATTCATCAACGATGCCATTACCTCGTCGATTAATGCCGCGTCGGCGGAGAATATCGACTGGCAGATTTCGGCCGAAGGAGAGTTCAGCCCGGAACAGCTGATAGACTTGATGAACCCAACCAGCGCTCCGGATTTTGATCCGATGCATGTCATGGAGACGAACTGGAATGGGGATATCATGCCGTCTACGCATACATCCTCGAGCATGGACCTGCCGAATGACTTGCACATGAACGACATCAGCCTGGAAGATATGAACTTTGACGATATCATCTTCGAAATGCCATTAGATGACACTTTTGGCACTACTAGCGGTGCTTGATGAGCAACAAATTGGGGAGGATTTAGCGATCTTACTAGACTGCATGGGAGGAAAGTGCGGATAGAGTGCGGTATAGAGGCGTCTGGGTTCTCCGAAAGCAATTGTCGCTTCGAAAGAGTGAACGTTTTATCTGTGAAAGAACATCGACCAAAGTAATCATAACTGCAATGGTGCAACTACTTCGTTCATGACTCAGCTGACCGTTCCTGGTCACACATGTGGTGCGCCACACTCTTTCTGTGGTTCCTGCCAAGCCCAAACAGCACACACATGGGCATCGGAACCCGTGCGTTTCATCATCATCACAGCGTGTTTGTAGTCAGCGCTAACCACTTCAGTTCTGTTTGTCCACCTCATTCCCTTCTTCCAACAACTTCTCATCGGCCTTGGAAACTGTTCTCAATGGCATTAGCAAGGACCTAGATCATACCAAAACCAAACCAAGCAAATTCATAATCATGGCTTCGAAAGACACGGCCGCAATCGCAGACGGTAAGCAAATCAAAACCAACACATCCATATGAAAACCTCCCCACTCACATCAATTTCCACCTACATAGAATCCATCACCTACACCTCAGGCGCCGACCTCTCAACCCCACCAGCCCTGCGATTCCTGCACTACAACGACGTCTACCACGTCGAACCCGGCTCGCGCGAACCCGTCGGCGGAATCGCAAGATTCCAAACCCTATGCAACTCCTACCGATCCTCGATCCCAGACTCAAAATACGCTGGACAATCTGACCTCCTCACCTTCTTCTCCGGAGACGCTTTCAACCCCTCGCTCGAAAGTTCCGTCACCAAAGGAAAACACATGATCGCACCCCTCAACGACATTGGAACCGACGTCGCGTGTTTGGGGAATCATGATTTGGATTTTGGCGTTGAGCAGTTTGAATTTCTGAAGGGGAAGTGTAGATTTTCTTGGCTTTGTGCGAATGTTTTGGATCCTGCGTTGGGGGAACACGTTCCGATCGCGAGGTGTCGGAGGACAGAAGTTTTGACCGCGTCGAATGGGATTCGGGTCGGGGTTATTGGGGTTGTGGAGAGGGAGTGGTTGGATACGATTAATTCGCTGCCGCCGGATTTGAAGTATTTGAGTGCTACGGCTGTGGTGAGGGAGTTGGCGGGGAAGCTGAGGGAGGAGGAGAAGGTGGAGATGGTGGTGGTTGTGAGTCATCAGAGGGAACCGAATGATTTGAAGTTGGCGAGGAATTTGGAGGCTGGGGTGGTGGATCTGGTGTTAGGTGGGCATGATCATTATTATGCTCATCATGTGGATGAGGGGAGTGGGGTGCATGTTTTGAGGAGTGGGAGTGATTTTAAGCAGTTGAGTTATATTGAGGCGAGGAGGAAGGTCGGTGGTGGCAAAGGTTGGGATTTTGATATTACGAGGAGGGATGTGGTTTCGAGTGTTCCGCAGGATCAGGCGGCGGTGGAGATGGTCGAGAAGATCACGGCGAGTCTGAGACCCAAGCTGGAGAAACCGATTGGGTATACTTCTGCGCCGCTGGATGCGAGGTTTACGACTGTTCGGACCAAGGAGAGCAATCTGGGCAACTTCACCTGCGACTTGATGCGGTTTCATTACAATGCCGATTGCGCCATCATGGCGTCAGGCACGATTCGAGGGGACCAGGTGTATCCGCCAGGAGTTTTACGGGTCAAGGACATGATGAATTGCTTTCCGTTTGAAGATCCTTGCGTTGTAATCGCATTGAAGGGCAGCCAGATTGTGGAGGCACTCGAAAACGGGGTTAAGACGTATCCTGCCCTCGAAGGACGATTTCCGCAGGTTAGTGGAATTGAGTTCACGTTTGATGCTTCGAAGGAGCCCGGCCAGAGGTGTTCGGACATCAAGATTGGTGAGAAGCCGGTCGACATGGACAAGGAGTACACACTTGCCACGCGCGACTACATGGTCAGAGGCAAAGATGGCTTTACCAGCTTGATGCTGGAAGGTCAGGGTGGCTCGGCGAGAAGCATCGTGTCTGATGAGAATGGTATGCTCATCAGCATGATCCTTCACCAATACTTCATGAGTCTAAAAGTGCTCGGAAAATGGAAACTTTTCGGAAAAGGCATGAGCGGTCACTGGGGGAAAATCCATGGCTCACTCCATAAAAGCCATCCCATTCTGGATGCCAGTCCGGTCGCAGCATCTACAGCAAATACGGACAAAATCACGCCTGCGCCCAGTGTCTCGCAAGACGAACAAGTGCATACGAATGGCGAGGCTCGTGAATCGCTCGTCGACCGAGCACAGAATCACTCTCGTCAAGGCTCGGATCTGGCTCATCGACCTTCGAAATCTCGCAAGCTGAAGCATGAGGAGTGCACTACAGCAGCAGCAGCAGATTCTGACAGCGAGGATGAGCATGATCTCCCGGAGGATCCCATTCGAGAGCGCGAGTTATACGTCATGCGAAAGGTGATGCGGAAGTGGTGTCGCCTGGCCGGCCTGCATGGCAAAGCGGAGATGTGCGCTCAGAAGGGAGAGGATTTTGCTGTGGCGTGGACGAGAGGCATTGCTCCGCGACTTGAGGGTCGTATCAAGATCGTTGGTGCTGCCGCATGAGGGTTTGCGTGTAAAGGCCGCTGGGAGTGCCCAGAGCACGAAGGATGCAGTATCTCGTGCGATATTGGTTCCAATGCTTGGACCTGCGAAATTCGAAGTCGGAGCTGTTGCAGGCGGGCTTCGTTGGAATGAAAGTGCAGGTGGTGTGTTTTGGGAAGAGGGAGAAAGTTGGAGAGCCGGTTGGCAGGCAGAATCTCATCGCTAGGCCAAGCCATGCATAACGGAAGAAATAGACCAAATGGAATCCGGCTGAGCCAAGGATTGACAGTGGGATTACAGTTCGTAGCGGAAACGGTATGATGCTGCTCTTGTGCTATATTCTTTTTTATTTGTCTAGACCCTCTCCTTTCTCTATTAAAATTGCCGCCGGCTATTAATTAAAAGTACCGAACGCCGAACGCCGAGTAACGTATATAAGGAGGACTTCGTAATACTACCCCCTTTAAGTTCGTTAGCGTAGTAGGAAGGGCCGCTACTAGCTATTTCTAGTAGACGCTAAACGATTAGGAGTTAGTTTAGTATACTACTAATTAGAAAGCGATTAGAAAGTAGCAATCTCTAGAAATTAGCTAGCAAAGCGCCTTTTATTTAGTAGTAATCCTTCTATACTAATAGGCTATAGACCTAAGACGACTAAAAGTAATAGCTAAGAAGGTAGACTTCTAGAGCTTATAATCTATCTCTAATAACCTCGGATATATCTATCTATTTTATACCTATAGCCTATAGCTAGCTATTTATAATAACTTAAAACGAGTAGTTAATAAGTTTAAGAAGATAGTTAAGGCGGCGTAGGTACTCCTTAAATAGTCTTATATAATTTTCTAAAAACAATAAAAATAGACTTAATAGTAGTTTAGTTTACGAACTATAAGACGTATATAGTTTAGTTTCTTAGTAGCAGACTAGCGGTCTAGTTCCGGTTTAGTTTGCTATCCCGCTAGTTCTAAACTAGTTTCCGAGCAAATCTAAGAGGCTCCGACTAAACTATAACGACGTACGATAATCGGGGATTAACTCTAGAAAACGACGGGGGCCCTATTATAAGAACCTAAGTAAGTAAAGTCTCCTATTATGCCTTAGTAAGCCTATATAACAATTATGTGATATTATTACGTGCACTGCGGTGCTGTCTCGCTAGCGTAAAGCCTGCTTAGCGTATACGCGGAAAAGCTTAGTCGCTCGTACGGATATACTTAGTTACTAGTTCGGTATATATACTATCCGTACGTAGCCTAGTTAATAGTAAACGCTCTGCCCTATTCTAAGAAAGGTACGGTTTAGTTCTACTTTCTACTACGGCGATTAGTAGAGGGTGTTCTATACGTTACTATATACCTATTTTCTTATAGTTCTAAACCGTCTACCCTTCGTAGCGGCCTATAGAACCCCGAAAGATAAACGCAAGCGATCTAAATGCGCCGGGCGCGGGAAACGCGTAGAATAATGCCCTAGGAGCGCCGATAGCATTAGAAAACGACGTAGCGATATAATAAGACAAAGCCGAATATTAGGCGCGCCGAGAAGCGACCTACCTACGGCTCGAACGATTTCTAGCTAAGTAAGAAGTACTTAGGCTAGAAGTATAGGCTTAAGAAGCTAAGCGAGAGAATGCGCGTCTTCGTACTCTTAGGGACGCCGGCGATACGCTAGCTCCGAGTAGTAGTACTACCGGCGAGGGTCCTACGAGGACCCTACCCCTAGATAAGGACAAGGACGAGGAAGAATTAGCTAACGAGTCGATTTAGAGGCCTAAATATTAGAGAGCTAAATCTGTCTCGTATCGACTACCTCTTTCCGGAAGTACGCTAAGCGTAGCTACTATACCTAGTATAAGCTACGTAGTCGCTAGTCTTGCGGCTATTAAGCCTCGCCTAAAGGAACCTAAGCCCTTTAAAGGCGATACGATTAAGGAGTCGAGGCGGTTCCTTCGAGAACTTTCTATTACCTTTATACTATCCGGAGCTACCTATTATACGGACGAAAGCAAGGTGCTTTATAGTGTTATATACCTCGTAGGCGATACGTAGGAGCGATAGTATAATAAAAACAGCCTTAAGGACCTATAAAATTATACCTACTAGGACTTTAAAACCTTCTATCGGGACTGTATCGGGGACCCTATATAGTATAAACCGTATACTAGACGTAACCCTCGAGTATAAGGCGGCCCGTTAGCGTAAGGGACAGTTAGTCTAAAGCTTTACCCTTAAGCTCGTAGTACTCGAAGACTAACTTAGCGACTATAGCGAGGAGTATAGGATCCGCTATTTCCTCGTTAAACTCTAGCTAGCGATTCGTAGCGCGATTATTAAATACTATATAGTGCTAACGACGCGTTACGAACTCGTAGAGCTTGCGACGCGTATCGAGACCCCTAATAAGCCGTCTAGTAAACGTAAAGATCGTAACTACGATAAAACCGGAGGTAGTAAAGGTAAGAAGCGTCGATCTAATAGTTAGGCCTATAAGCAGTAGTTAAATCGCGACCGTAGCGCAGGCGGAAAGTATACGAAGGGCGATAACTCGTAAGGCGGGTATAATATTAGTAAGGTCGAATATTATAGCTATCGCTAGAAAGGCTATTATAAGAACGCGTACCCGAACCGCTATCTCTAGAAAGACGACAACCCTATAGTACGTAAGGTAGCCGCTAACGCTAAAGAGAAGAAGAACGACTCGAAGGCTAAGGGAAAAGATAAGGCACCTCCTAAGAGCTAGGGATAGGTACGGAATCTTAACTAAGTAGCTTAGTAGTAGTAGTACCTACGGGATGCGTACGCGGAGTAATCGTTACGTAAGAAGGGGAAGTGTCCGTCGAATGCTTATTAGATAATGCTACTAACATTAATATAGTATCTTAAGAATTCGTTCTACGATACTAGCCTTAGCGGATTGTTAATGCCGTACTACCTAGTACCGACAGTTTCTAGGGCGACCGAAGATACTACTACGGAGCGCATTATTTACGCTTACGGATCGCCGACTCTATAGGCTAAGAACGCATTACTACCGGAGTGTTCTACGCTTTCGAGATGCCCCTCCCTAATATTATTCTTAGTAGGCCTTAGAGGCGCGATTAAAAGGTAATCGTCGATAGCTCGACAAATACCTAGACCTATAGGAACGAAGCCGTAGCGCGTTCGATACGCGTACGGGAACTATAGGAATTCTAGAAGGATATACGTAACGCCCTATACGTATATGCGATTAGCGTTCGCTAGCTCCGCGATATCGCTAAAGGTTCCTCCTTACTAGAAGAATTTAAAGACTTCGAAGACGTCTTTATAATAACGCCCGAAGCGAGACGTAAGCTCCCCGAAGACGTAGAGTATACGATAAACCTAATCCCCGGAACGAAGCCGCTATATAAACCTCTCTACTATTCTTTAGGAAGAGAGCTTAGCGACCTTCGTAATTACCTAAGCTTAGCCTTAGAAAATAACTAGATCTAGCTTAGTATAAGCGAGGCAGGTACGCCGATCCTATTCGTACTAAAGAAGGATAGTAGTCTAAGACTCTACGTCGATTATAGGGGGCTAAACGAGATTACTATTAAAAATCGTTACCCCCTACCCCTTATTAGCGAAACGCTTAATAGGCTTAAGGACGCCGAATAGTATACGTCCTTAGACCTATAGGATACGTATTATCGTATCTATATTAAGCGAGGCGACGAGTAGAAGACTACGTTCTATACGCGGTATAGGCACTTCGAGTATAAGGTAATGCCTTTTAGGCTTACTAATGCTCCTACTACGTTTTAAGGATATATTAATAGGGCGTTAGCTAGCCTAGTTAATATCTACTATATCGTCTACCTTAACGATATTCTTATCTATAGCAAAACGCGAGAGGACTACGTACGAGACGTACGCGCTATCCTTACGCGGCTCCGGAAGTTCGCCTTATATATAAATAGAAAGAAATATTCCTTCTAGAAGAAAGAAGTCGAATTCCTCGGGTTTATCGTTAGTACCGAAGGCGTATCGATAGATTAGCGTAGGGTAAACGCTATTACCGAGTAGCCTCGCCTATTAACGCTAAAGGAGGTTTAATCCTTCTTTAGATTCTATAACTTCTATCGGAGGTTTATTCTAAATTACTCCCGAATCGTTATACTACTAATTGCCCTATCGAAAGGTACCGTAAATAGCCGGAAGCTAGGGTAGGTCTAGTAGGGCGAAAGCGAGGAGTAAGCGTTCCGCTAGCTAAAGGCTACCTTTAGCTCGGCCTCGATATTGCGATACTATAATCCTACGAAGCCCCTATATATCGAAACCGATACCTCTACGTTCGCCTTAGTAGGGATTATATTATAATAGAGCGAAGATAGCTATTATAGGAATTAGTACCCTATTGCCTTCTAGTTACGAAAAATAGTCCTAGCCGAGACGAATTATAAGACTTATAACTAGGAGCTCCTAGCGGTTATCGAGTCCTTTAAGCATTAGCGCCCGTACCTCGATAGCGCTTAGTATACGACCCGCGTAGTTGTCGACTACGCTAATCTTAAAGGCTTTATAAAGATAAAGTAGCTTATCGGAAGGTAGGTAAGATAGGCAACCTTCCTTATACCTTTTAACTTTACTATTAAACATCGGGCTAGTAAGCGAAATCTAGCCGATACGCCTTTACGACGTAGCGACTACGAGAGCGAGTCGTAGGCGGTAAATAACCTTCTTCCTATATTATAGTCGAAACTAGCTCTATAGTTAAATCTGCCCGATAATATCGAGCCGATCGCAAATCGCGTCTCGATTATATACGTAGGGATACGAGACGCTACTATAACGCTAGCGGAGCGCAAGGCTTTATTAGTAGTCCTATAAGAGTAGCGGCTACTATTGTTAGTAACGACGGACCCTACTACGCGACGCCTAATATTATCCTTAGCTTCGTACGTACCTTATAACAGTTAGAGCAAGCGAGAGGAGGAGGCTTAGACGAGATAAGGTTACCGTCGGGTAGCCTAGCCTCTTCGAGTAGCTCTAACCTTCCGGCTAGCTATTTACGCTATAGTAACCTTATTTATTACGGTAATGCGCTATATATCCCTAAGGACTACGCATTACGTACGCAACTAATACGTATATACTACGACTAATACGGGTACTAGGTTACGAGAGGCTAAGTAAGCAGCGTAAAAGTATATAATACTTGCTATACTAGAATAAAAGGAATTGTCGTCGCTACGGCGACGATAATATCCTTAAACAAACAAAGGGAAGTGAATGTCTAAGACAAACACTTCTAGCTAATAGTATACTATAATACTACCCCCCCTCTAAATCGCCGTTAGCTCCTATAAGG